TTGGGCTTACAGGAAGGGAAGAGAATCTCAGCACCAGGAAGGGCCCTAAGCTTTTATGTGAGCTCTGCATCTTTTTGTCATTTATTTTACCAGCCTGGACGTATGAAGCAATCGTCTGTAGCTGCGTAACGTGGGCGGATGGGTGGGTTCCCATGCCCATGGGGATTTACCTGGAGAAGGTGGTCACTGTGGGACACATGGCTGATCTCCAGCTTGCAGGTCAACCTCACCCCCGCCATCGCCAGGCCTCTGCTGGGCAGTCCATGCAGGATGAAGCTCTCGTAGCCATACAGGTAGGTCTTGCCGGTATGAAAAATGGGCTCTATTAAAATTGAAAAGAAAATGCAACAGAAACAGCTCCTTCGTTACGATTGTTGTGATGTTACTCGCAAGAACCATCCCAGCAAAGAAGGGTGAAGCTGCTGCTGCCACCAAAAAATAGGTGCATGCAGCGGGCACAGCTGCAGGGGAGGGCAGTGTGGGAGCTGCTCGCTGGTGGTGACACTTACCAAGGTCCTGCTTCTGGCCCCCTGCATGGGAGGAAAGAGAAGGATGCATGAGAAAACCCCCACCTCTGTGGGCACTTCATATTTATTATTCATTTACTCAGTGTGCTAATGGTTGGCAAACAACCAGGAATGTGCACCCCACACCCCCTGGGGACACCAAGCCCATGCCAGCCCCCCCTGGCTAGCTGCTGCTTGCTCGGCTTTTCCCCTGCTGCTAAGCTTAGGCACAGAAATTTAATAGTTTACAGCCAAAGTTGTAAAAGGGCTTCAGCAAATTGAGCTGTAAATATCCCTGAAAAGCCCCGAGGAGATGCAGTTTGCTCAGGACCGCAGTGGCCATCACAGCTCAGCAGTGCTGGTAAAGCTTCAACTTACCCACGAGGGTGAGCACCAGGGCCAGGACGAGTCCCTTCATGCTAAAAGCGACTGAAGACTGCAAGGGAAAATGTGCGGCTTTTATAGAAGAATTATTAACAGGCACAGTGAATTTTGTTGAGTTATCAACTTTTTATCAACCACTCAAACCCTTTGAGGGAGAGGGGGTCGGGGACAAGGTGCCGGCTGTTATTGCTGAGCCAAAACCATCACAACTGCTTTTGTTCTCACTTCATCAACTGAATGCACTGGAAGTACGTTTTGAAACTAGTGCTTAAAAGTATTGAAATATAGTTAAAGCCAAAATATTTATTGTGTAAGAAAAACTACCAATTATCCCTGGAAGCACCCAGTGCTATTGCAGTCTGCGCTGACTTTGTCCAGGTTATCCTGACCTGACCATAAGGCACACAGCTTATCTAACTGATAGTGCCCCAGCAGGATTGTGCAAAAATCCCCGGGCAGCCCTCCCGTGACACCGTGCCCATACCTGCCCTGCTGTGAGCGGGACAGACTGTCACCCACAGTGCTACTCTCTGGGGACAGGGACTTCACCCAGTCACACAAACCTACCGTCATTGTCACCAAGGCCATGGCTAAACGCCGCTGATGTTCATGCTTCCCTCACCTGCCTTCTCTTACCGGGCTGATGCGTCTGCCCCTTTCACCAGTGTGGTTAGCCATAGAGGGGTGTTGCTGAGGGTTGCCCCCACGAGGAGGGATGCGTGAGGCTGAGGGATGTGACAGACACAAACCTCTCAGTTTACAAAGATGTACACAGTGTGATTCACCCAAACTCATTTCACATCACGCAGCAAGGGGCAGCATCTTCACCCCACGGTGCAGCCCCCTTCTCCCACCGGTTGGCATTTTCCCTGTCCTTTTGGAGGCAGCCCCACAGGCCCCTCAGGCTGCTTTTGACTCCGGGGTTTGACATCGTTCCTGAATCCCCTGGTCCTCCACTGCTGGGACGTAGAACTGGGCTCAACTAAAGCAGAGGGAGCCACCTGCCTTGTTCACATCAGGAACCTGCACGAGGAGGGTTACGGCAGCCGTGGACTGAGGGGTTCATGTTGGTGCTGTACAGCCACTGTTTGCCTACCAACCTTCTCCTCCACGGGCAGGGAACCGAAGCTGCTGCCCACTTCACTGTGGGAAGGGACTGGATTCAGTTTCTCATCAACAGCTCAGTGGCTCCTATCCGAGACAGTTTAGTTTTCATAATGCTGATTTTTTTTTTTTTTATAATTCACAGTTGGGATATAATTTATAATGTCTGACAAACTGTGGATTTTGTTCCTAGATCAAAGGTTGCATCTGTAGGGTAAAAAAAATATAAATTTTGAAGCATGGCAAATACTTCACTGTATTTTTCCTGGCACTACATTCTGGTCCTGTTTGTTTTAACCCCTTGCCTTGTAAAACTGATGGCACATGATACAAAAGCCAAGCCAGTCACTAGTGAGTTGTGTGTCATGTCTTTGGAGATTTGGTAAATGGTAAATATAGCTAAAGGATTTGAGTACACAGCTACTGGTGACTGGTAATTGAGGCTCAAAAGTTAATATATTATGGCATAACTACATGCAGCTGCATGGCTTTTTTTTAAAAAAAAAACCAAACAACCTTGTGGGCAGCGAGGACTTGGGGTCAGTGGCAGTGCAAGCAGAAAAGTGCTGCTGTGATGGCAAATTAAATGCAACAACACTTGTATTCAGTGTCTCAAAATTATAACACTGTCACTAAAACACCACACTATAACAGTGACACCACAAACCATAACACTCCTCAAAATAAGGGCTGTATGGGCTGGGCCTGGCTGCAAGAGCAGGGTCTCCCCAAAACCCCCAGCCCTGGGCTTGCAGTCTCACCCCCATCCCCACCACTTTGGGCAGCAAATGCTACATCCCTGGTGACCCCAGCTGTGCTGCTGCCATGGAGCGGGATTATCTGTGCTTCTGCTCCAGGGGTAGGCAAAACCTGTTGGTGAGGGCTTCGCCTTTGGGGCTTTCTTTATGGAACTGAACCCTCTTATTTTCTAGACCATTTCTTCAGTATGTCAAGAACGATTCCAACTCCCAGCCTGTTCCCTCATACACTCACAGACATTTCACGCTTCATGTTTCTCTGAAGGATATAACCTGAGTAAAAAAGAGAAAGGGGAAAAAAAAAAAGTCTTAAGAAAATTGTGGGGGTGACCAACAACTTTGCTGTCCGCAGGACCTGCCCTGGACAGTGTTTCCTTCGAGCTGTGCTCAGCTCTCTCCACGATGGCATTGGAGAGAGGGGCAGAGGCTGCCTGGGGCCTCCCCGCAGCCCTTCACGAGGTGGACACCCACAGCCCACACCCCCCTGCAGTCCCACGGGTGCTCCGGCTGCCATGGTGCTTGGGTGATGCTCACCCATGGGTCTCCTGCCAGGGCCTTACTGCTGAGCTCATCGCACCCCTCGCACCTGAGCATGGAGCCTGGAAGACGAGAGTCCTCCCCAAAACTGTGCTCCAGCCTTGGCAGGCTGGGAAGAGGGGAACCCAGGGGCTGGCCCCACTGGAGCTGGGAGCTCGTGCCAGAGCCCCCCGTGGAGCCCAGCCCTGGGGGTCATGCAAAGCCCCAGCTTCTGCTGGATTTGGCCTCAGGGGTTACCCGGGAAGTCTGTGCTTCCCATGGCTGCTCTGTGTGACTTCCAGGCAAGCAGCAAACCCACCAGCTCACTGCTTTGCTGCTGCTGCTGCTGCTGCCAGGTGGTGCCCAAACACCGCCTGCTGTCAGCTCCCCATCACTTTGCAGCACAAGATACCATGACAGCCTTTAAATGGTGTATAACTATATATTTATGCCTGTCTTTCAAACATACTCCTTTTGCTACTAAGGACATTACCTTTCCAAACTATAAAACTCACATCCAAACAATAAAACTCACATACATGCATCCATTGAAGGTACCAAAGCTGCTGGGGAAAGCAAAACAACACAATTTTTTACAGAATGTTCCCATGTGTTTTCAGCAACTAGCTAGTGATTACCTCTCCACCTCCCATGGTCATAGGTAAGTGCCATTTTTCTTCACCGGTTTCTACTGATTTTAAGAACAAAATAACTTGCTTCTTTTTTAATTAATTTACTGCAGATCTAAATTTTTAACAATTCAATAGGATCACATTCTACTTCACAGTAACAAACTTCAATGTAAAAGATGAATGTGTGTTCAGTCAGTGATAAAATTGGCTGGATGTATGTGCATTAATTGGGAGAATGGTGATTAATTAAGGTAGATAAACTTAAGAAAGTACAATACCATTTCTATCAAAATTTGTGCAAAACTCCTAATGCCACCAGTCTTATTGTCATCGATGGTTATGTCTACACCATCTCCTAAGGCAATTCTCTGAAAAACAAATTCACCCAGCGTGCAGACTCGGCCTGCAAGCGCAGCCTTATAGGAAAGCAGAAAAAATCTTCCAGATCCGCTGGAATCCTTTGGGCTCCAGCACTAATGGCAGATGAGCACGTCCCCTGCTGTGTCCATGCAAACCTGCAGCGGGAGGGCAGGAGGCAGAGCCCACCTGCTGATGGTGGCCACAGCGAGGGCTCCTGCTGGGAATGTGGAGATGGGGCATCTCACCCAAAGCGCAAAGGTCTGGCTCTGCTTCAGACCCTTCGGCAGGTGGTATACTTGGGTAACTCCACCGCGTCCTGTTCAAAGACTCCTGATTCCCACTAGCTTCTGCATGTGGTGCATGAGGAACATAATGTGTTCCTGACCCCTCAGAGCAGCAGCGTGAGGTTCAGGCCCAGTCCCTGGTGTTGCTGTTCCCTACGGCAGCACTGGTACATCAGGTAGTTATTGCAGAGCACCGCGGCTGCGTTGCTGCTGCATCACACAGAAGGGATCAGTTCCTGCCCTGGGTGCACCAGGGAAGAAAGCACTGGGGGAAACAAGCCTGCTACCACAGCTACCCAACCCATATCCCTGATGGGGCCTGACACGGACATGTGCCTGGTGCACAGAAGACAGTCACAGACTCAAGAAGTCTATGAAATGGGTGGTGAGGAGAAGCAACACAGACCTCCTCTTTCTATAACCAACGAAATAAGGAAGCCTTTGTATTTTTTTCCATGCATGGATTTATTATGAAATCAGATATTTATGGACAATCGTAACAGTTTCTACAATAATAAAGTTTAATACTTTAAATTACTCTGGAAGATTCCACACGGCCTTAAACACTTAATTTAGTACCACTATTATGCCTTAAGATGAGTTTTCTTACACCACATAATAAAAACATTCAAGTGTTTCTCTTTTCTCCCATGCTGCAAAGTACAGCTTCATGCACTGCAGTCTTCGTTCTCACATGAACATGCTATGTGTGCATCGACAGTGTCCTGCATATCCTCTGACTTCTGGTCGAACTTTGTCTGTTTGTCTATCAGGCTGGTAGCCGAATCTGATGGGGAACAAGAAATGAAAGGTAAACAGCATACTTCAGAAGTAGTTTTGCAAGGTAGAGCATTTACCACGCACTAGTCATTACAGCAGGCTTGGCTTCCCCTCACTGGCTTACATATTTATATTTGTGAAAGTCAGGCAGAGATGTTCCAGGAAACCCACTTAATTAATAAGCCAGTTCTACCTTGAAAACTACTACTTCCACATGGAATTTTATTAATAATACATTTAGGAAATGATATTGTGGTCTTGGAGGAAAAACAAACTTGGAAAACAGACATGAACCCATCATCTATATAATCTATATCACTCTAATCTAGTATCTTGGAATCTACAATATACCTGTAAAAAAGACATCCTCCTACATCACTGCACCTGTGTGTAGGAATCCCTTCCACACCTGCCCTTCTGTTGCCAAAATCAGCTCAGTGAAATAGGATCACACCCAAAGGCACTGATATATAAAAATATACAAGGGGAGGATCCCCATTTCAGGGTGCTGCACATGATCAGATGTGGCTGAATCCTCACCAGATGCAATACATAGTTTTTCAGCTGAATCACAATGTTGACCGTGCTGTTACCCTGCCCTTACCTTGTTAGCTCAAAGCACCACGAAGGCAAGTTCAGTTTAGATTTTAAATTCCAGTATAATGAAAACCATGGTAAAATTACAACAGAAAAACATCTCTCTCACTAAAGAAAGTTTTACATATTAAAGAAAACAGTGGAAGGTCTTCAGTCAAGCAAGTCCATCCCTACCTGTGGATGTGTTAGATTATTCATACATTTCAAATGGAATACCCAAGTCAAGGGACAATGTGTTTAGACTTTTGTGCAGCTCCTATTCAGTAGGATTTCTGTTTACTTACCAGCTGGGAGACAGTGGAAACCAACAGTGACTGGAGTAGTCTTGGTGGCGGAGCATCCTTTCACACAGCGCAGCACGGGCTCTGTAGAATAGCACTTGGACTCTACACCCGCAAGCTGAACTGTCTTCTCAAGCTTCACAAGGGAGCGTCGCAGTTTGCAGGCTGTAACACAACCATTGGTGATAGTTTATGTGCTTGCATCCAAAAATCTTCAGATCTCTCCAGAAGGACCCATCTGCCAACACCGCCAATTTGCAAACAACTTTCCTCTATGAAAACTATATTTTGATCATAGAATGGTTTAGGTTGGAAGGGACCTTGAAGATCATCGAGTTCCAACCCCCCTGCCATAGGCAGGGATACCTCCCACTCAACCAGGTTGCCCAAGGCCACATAAGCGAAGCAGCATCACTGACTGATAAGTTTTTGAAATTAGCTAATTAGATATGGAGCTACAAAAAGTTAAATTCAAAGTTATTTCTAGATTAACGTGTAGAAGCATAGTCTGATGTACTTTCTAATAATTTTCAAAGTAAACTGGCTCACTGAGTAGCTGCAAAACAACATTTGAAAGGGTTGAATACTCAGCAGTGGAAATAAAGGGGGTTTTCTGACCAAATAAAAATAATCACTAAAGAATTACACTATTGCCACTGTCATTCAGACACAGAATTGCTACAGAGAGAGACCAAAAGTCATTGCTGCCAGCCAGTAATATTGACCTCGTTTTGGATTTCCAGGACAAGCAGTTACAAGTGTGTGAGAAGCTAAATGGACCGCAACTCATTCCTGACTATAAGCTTTATTCTCTAAAATTCCAGCTATTTCCACCATATGTTAAATGGAACCACAATATGTGGTCGCTACTAACCACGGGAAAATTGTTGTATAGATGCATGTGGACTCCATACCCATGTAAAGCAAGTTTGATGCCCAGTATTCGTTACAAAGCCATAGCAGAATAACAGCTGATGTACAGCTAAACAAGTAGAAGCCATCTCCAGGGACTGAGGAAGTCCTTCCCAGCAGGAGAGATCTCCTTCACAAAGGCAACATCCCTGTTCTCCTTGCAGCACTATGGTTTGCTGTTGCATCATAACCTCAGCTGAGAGCTCTGAGCACAGCATAAGATCCTAATCTACTGAAACACTTAAAATACAGCTTTTTTATTTCAACCATGTAATTAGGTCCCTGGAACTGCTCATGCACTTGAATGCTTTGCTTAACAGGTTGCACTGGTTCAAAAATCAGGTGGTCAGCCAAGGTGAAATAATTATTAATCCCCATCTGATTTTTTGATGGATCAAATACTGGCTGGAAAATAGTCTTGTGCTTAAATCAAAGCATTCTGTATGAATTTATCCTCTTACATTTTTTCCTGATCTTCTTCTAAAATGCTTCAAAACTGAAACAAAGATTTTGTTTCATCTTGGTTATTTAATTTCAACTGACTTGTGGGTTTTGGCTTGTTTGTTTAACTTGTAATTTCTTATTCCTTTCTAAACTGACAAATATTTTTTATACTTAATATAACTTAATAATGAACCTTTTTAAAATGCTTTCTTCAAGATGTTTATGGATTTTAAATTTTCTAAATAAAGTCTACATTTTCAATACAACTGCAGAAATATTATATCAAATTTATCAGAACTTGCATACCTCCTGTACAAGGCTTTTCTTCCAAAATCCAAGAATGCCCAAAGCTCACTGCATCTTTAGCTAGATATCCATTGGGCATCCGATATTCCTGTTCACATTCTGCATCATATTTTCCACAAATTCCACACATTTTCCCCGCCATCCATAAGGCAACTTGAATCTTCAAGAGAAAAAAGACCATTTCAAGTTAAAAAAAAAAAAGCCATGGAGATGGAGCAGATTTTTGCTATGTAGATCCCTTCCAGTATAAGTTAATGCACAAATATTTAAAATCTCTTTGCTAAAAATTCAAAAGTGTCCAACAGTCAGATGCCAAACTCCTGTGGTGCTGCAGTGTCTTTAACTGTCAAAGCCTTCAAAACCCACAGTGCCAGTCTAGTATGTTAAGTTATTAGTAGTCTAGACGATTAATATGCTGAAGCTTTTGTTTGATGCATGTTTTTGCAGTATAGGTGATAGATACAGTATGGTTTACCGATTTCTTTCATTCTCATTTCATATTGGTTTTAGTGCAGCCTTTGAAACATTTGCTCATCTTAAAAGAATGGCTGCATTTTTGCCGATTTAAAGGATTATACAGCCGTAAGAACAGTGGACAGAGCTGAAAACTCATTTTCCCTGCAGATGCACTGCTGGCTCAGTGTGTGTACGTTCACAGACCCATTTCCCAACACACACCTGTACTGCACGAATAACGTCTTTTTGTTGGCCACAGAGTCTCACTTCTCCTACTGAGAAATAAAGAGCAGGGCTGTGCAATCTTGTAGTGTCATCTCCCCTTTGGGTTTTTTTGGGCCCTGCAGAGATTTAGTTTTGCCACTGTATACTCTCGCACTCACACATACAGTTTTAAGAGAATCCTATGACAATTTCTCAACCCCCCAACTTATGAAGAGGAGTAACTATACCCTGAATGTGTATCCGTCAAAGTACAGTTTATCAATGCCATAGGCTGGGGCAACAAGTACAAGTCCTTGCTTTTCACTGTGAATCCACAGAGAAGCACCTAGAAAGAAAACAAAGTAAAGCAGAGCAAAACCAAAACAGGCCCAATGTAGCTTCTTTAAGAAAGAAAAAAGCAACTGTCACGTTTCTAAAATGTTCTTTTCCTTGAAATTCCTCAGTTGTTCTATTCAAGAAACAAAACATACATCAAAACAATGTAGAAATGTGTGTGTATAGAAAACAGATGTTTGCAAAAAGCTGGAAAACAATTTTAACGATCACAGATTTACTTGTTTTTCTTTGGGTTATTAACATATTCATATTTATTTCTAGAAATGACTACAGAGCTGCCTATAATATCTGTATAGTTGTGTAGGTATACAGGGCCCCGATTACACTATTTTGGAGTAAGGAAATACAAAGAACACCGTGAGTGTCACTGGAGCCATTTCTGGCACAATTATCACTTCCCAAGTACATAACATATAGGACAGAGCTCAGCACTGGCAGATGCTAACCCAATTTCAGCAAGATTTAGCTTAATTCATATACTACTGCTCTACAGTCAGAAAATACCTGCATTGGATATAGCCCCTGACTGCATAGCACAGAATGAAACAAGGTCCTCCTGTATCTTTCACAGAAAAAAAACTATTCCTGCTTTGAGAGAAGCAAGGAGGCTATTTTACCAGTTCTCCATATTTATTCCTAGCCTATTTCAGAATGCTAGCCAATTTATACCTATCAATCAAATCAGGAAAAAAATCAATATACATGTGGCGAAATTTAGAAAACTCTACTTCAAAAAGTTTTAATCAAGCAAGATTTTGTAGTATAACCAAAACACTTCTCCAATGTGGAACTCGGCAGGAGCTGCAGTAATGTATGAAGAAGAGGGGTCTTCATGTTAGTTACATCTTGCTTAGTTTGGCCACTTAAAGAGCTTCACACTCTAACCAGTCTTTCTGAATGTTCCTATGCAGGTGAGTAAAATACATGTTCTTAAATATTAACCTTAGAACCAGAGGTAGAAATACTTATTGAATACAAACTTGTGGAATCTCTTTGATAGAGCTCTTTCTTTCTTTCTCCTAAAACATATGTGAAAATGAAACAAAAGATGCTGCATCACTTACCAGAAGACATGTATGAAACATTCGTCGTGGGGCTTTCAGCCCCATCTACCAGCAGTTTCACCTGTCCGTTCACAGGACGCATATCAATTTCACTGTTAAGGAGAAGAGTGTTCAGAGCCTGTTTGCATCCCGTTCACACGCATACAACAACAATGGCATTTTCCTGCTCACTGGCTATCACTGATCACAGCATAAGCTCATTTCAACTACTTATATTACATCAGGGGTATTCTCGTCACCCAAGGTGCAGGGTAACATCAGCAGCATCACATTCAACACGCAGAGTAAATAAGGGAAGTAAATAAGGGAAATGCTGAAGTGCCCTGGGCTGCTCACCATTGCAGTAAAGCTCAGATCTGAGCTCCTCATGTTAAATGTGGACAGTTTAGTCCCTCTCACTCCCAGCGTCTGGCAGGAGTTACTTACTGACTGCCAAGCTTGATGTTGATTGCTTTCAGGTTCATAGCTTCTTCAGCATTCCTCATCATCACCAGGAACTTAAGGTCAGAGCTGCAATCCTGAGCCAAGATGTGGTAACAGTTTGCCGGCATTGTGTAGTTAAACTGAACGTCATTAAAGGTTGTGATCTTGTTGTGGGAAACTGAGCAGCGAGCTGGTTAAATAAAATGCCAGTGAGTACACACTTTTCCATAAAAGCTATATTATTTTTCTATAAAGCCATATTGTTTTTTCCATAAAGCTCTTTTTCTAAAAGATATATTATTTTTCCATAAAGCCATATTATTTTAGCTTTATAATTTTTCCACTATGTGATATTTTTGTATGGATTACAGGAGCTTTGGGCTACTGAGTACCCATAAATTCTACAAAAGGTCTGGAAAATACATTCCTCTATCTAACTAAAACATAATTTCCAGTAAGTTTAAATGTTACCAATTCAGATAATGGGTATCTTGATCCCTGAAATGCTGATGATTTCTGTACTATATGAGCAATATTCTCTCCCAGTTGAAACATTCTCACATTATTACAGCACATTTCCTAATTAACTGGAGACAAATAATCCCAGAAAAATTCAGAAGGTGCTCAAGTAATTCAGGAGACTGAGGATGCCATGCTTCTCGACCCAGTTAGATCCTGACCTTTCAAATTCTCGAGCACTGCAGAAGGGGCTTCAGCAAAGACATTCCAGATGGGAGGCTGCAGCTCTGAAGCTGGTATCCTCGGACCTACAGGGAGTGACAGGGGAAGCCTCATGGCTTTTTCATAGAGGATCATCTGAAAAGGAATTCAAAACCACGTTCAAAATACACTTGTGCCAGGTATTCACAGCAAACAGCTGAGATCAGGTTTTTTTCCTACTTGGAATTTGATTTATGTTTCTTCTACTGTGATTGACAAAGACTTTATGTGAACACAACTCATCTGACTCACTCTCCATGAGCTTTTTGCTTTTGCTTATAGTTTTCTCTCACAGTGTGGGTCATCATTCAGATATTATTTGGGAGAGAATGAATTACTCCCCTTCAAAAGTGGTTAGGGGAACACTTATGGGGCTACTACAGATAGAAACACGTGTAATTATGAGTACCACTGCACTCTCTTTTTCAATAAACAAAATCAGTCTATGACTATTCTTGGATGTAATATAAAAAGGTCAAAAATAAACAAAAGTTGTTTTCAACATTTGCACCCAGACTGATGCTTACTTGATTTTTCTTTCTCAGAATTGGCCCACTGTAATTAAAATGCAACTGTGCCACTTTTCTACTAGGAAAAAATAAGAGTGATAATAATATTTCATAATTACATCAGGAAGCTTGATAACAATGTCACATGTCCTTGGAGAAGTTAGAGCCACTATCACCCTGGCTTGTCGAGAAGGATTCTTGTCCATTTTTTCAGATAACCCCAGCATAAACGCAGCTCCAGGGACAAACTTGTAAAACCTTCAAAAATTCAAATCAGAAAGATCTGGTGAAATAGAGAAACAAAAAGCAGCACACATCCCAACCAAGTTGTCTCACATCTGTGTGTAAGTAGCATACAGAGTCTTCTGGATCACTGGTTAGGTCCCCATGACTACTCTCTGCTTTACTGATAAAGTGTTCAGTGAAAGGAAGGATCTGTTTCTCAGTTTTCAGTAATTATCTCCAGTATAAAGAATTACTGTACATTACAACAGGGTGGCTGTGATCTCCCACTCAGCTTTTATGTCCAAAGGCAGTACTCGGACAGATCAGAGAATAAATTAATAGCCGGTACTTTAACCACTAGAACCTCAGGGATGGACGCTGATTTCTCACGGTTGACCGGTAAGATGAAGAGTGTCACTAAAGACTAAAACCTCACCATTCTGCTATGGATCTGACACTTGAAGGAACTTTAGGCCACTCCAGTTTCACTTGTACAGCCGGGTGGGCAGCAAACCGCCCAGTTACCAGCTCAGCCGAAATCTTGTAGTCCTGGCAATTCCTGCCCCACTTCAGGTAAGCCTTTAATGGAGAGAGAAACGGTCCATTTTTAAATGCATGGAACATGGTTTTCCTGTGATGCATACAGCTGTACATAACTATTTTTGAGCCTTACCGCTGCCTTGTGAGCATTGAGGACCGAAGCATCAGCACAGAGCTTCCACTTGCTTGAATCTGTGAGGTTTGACACAAATACCTGCACCCGGGGCCTGATGGAGTCAATATCAGCATATACCACAAGCTGGAGGCCTCCTATCTTCTTATTGTTACGAATGCCATGAAGAAAAACAGCTAATACTGGTGTTTTGACATCTCCCAAAAACTTAGGCTAAGAAGAAGGGGGAGAAAGTATGCAAAGAATATAATTATAAAAGAGTTACCATGGAACATTTTAGATGCAAGATCTAGATGGATAAATGAAAAATATGCAACTGAACTGCATATATATACCAGCATATGTACCACACATATATACACGCCTATAAACTCTCATGAATATGTCTTTAATGTGTATGTGCCTCTGCATGCACAGATGGATTTTATCACTGTATTTTATATGAGCCAAAATTTGCGCCATTTCCTGAGCTGCAGCTGATACCATGGAAATGCTCATATCATTAGGATACAGTAATGACTACATGATTTGGGCTTCATTGTTAATACCTATATATTTGCCTGTGAAAGAGAGTGGTTCAATTTGACTAGCAGCATCAGCTGTCTGTTGTATTCACCACTCGTTCTCACAACAATAACATCCCCCAGCTAGTGTCCTCCTGTTTAGCTGTCTGGTTGGTCTGTTGGCTTTCACCTCACACTTCAGCTGTGCATTCTGTGGGGCAGGCAGGTTTTGTGTTTGCACAGCACCCTAGCACAAAATATAATCCAGGACATCGTCTTCAACATCAAGAACCTCCCCCCTTGACAGCAGGGCCTTAAGCACACTGTGGCCTGCAATTCCTTCACTCCCTCATTAGACTTCACTTCATCACTTGCCCCAGAGATCAAGCCTGAGTGCATCAGAGAAAGTGGTGGTGAGGAGCCAAGGTGTTACATGTCACCTCTGGAGTGTTCCTTCTGCTGAGGCTCCTCTTTGCCTCAGCCTCCACCACCAACGTCCTTGCACTGGCACTGCAGCACCTCAATTTCCCTCATGGTTGCAGAGGTCATGAAATCAGTCTCTTCAGGCATCTGTTGGCCGGGATTCCCATGAGGGAAGGGTCATGGTGCAAATAAGAAGGATCCTGACCTCACTGCAGAGGAAAGTGTGTGTGGGAACTATGGTGTGTGTCTCTCTCTTGATTCATACCCGAGACTTGAGAGTATTTCTCTCTTCCCGTTATCCTGGCTGTACAAGTACTGCAAGTGCATGGCCACTCTGCCTTTCTTCCAAGCTGTCAAAACCCCCTAAAAATGATGTAACTAACCCGGGAAGCAGCTCGAGATGAGGCATGACTGGATCTGGTAGAGGAGTACGTGCTGCTAAGTTGGTCAGCTGGGAGTTTCCTTTTGGGGAACTGCAAGAAGAAAACACATCACACTCAAGAGGGTAACTTAAAAGCACACTTGAAGAAATTACACTAGGCAGTGCTGCAGAATGCTCTCATGGCTCTTGGTGTTGGTAAACTTGCGTTCCAATCCTGAGGAGCTCAATGAGTTGCAGTGTGCTTTGCCCTGCTTAGTACATGTGATCTAGCTCTGAAAAATCTTGTTTACCCAAATACATCTGACCCTTCAGAAGAGACAAATAAGGAACGTGTCTAGATGAGAATTCCCTGTGTGAAAATACAATGGGCCAGAGCAAGTCAAATTGAACCAGCCTCTCGATTCAATATGAAAGACCAGAGTTGATTCATTTTACTTCTGGAAGAGCCTGATCAACTGGAGAACGCATTGAATGGACCAACTGAATGGAAGGGATCAACTGAATGGACACACACAGCTATTTTGAGGAACACTAATATCAAGTACACTGCTCCTGGCTGGCTCATGCACCAGTATGAATTTTTTGCTGAACTAAAGTACCATCCTGGTGTGTATCGACAGTGATTCCAACCCAAGAAACCAAGGGATCAAAACCAGTCAAATGACCCATGCTCTTGATGGTAGGATCTTTGTTCCTCCAAAGTGTGCATCCCCAGTCCCTTGTACTGCTTTGGTAGACTTTTGCATCTACTTTGCAGATCCACGAATGGCATCATGTGCACAACACAAAGGAGAACACAGCTCTCTGTCTACGCATCTCAGAACCACCACCACAGTTTATTTGGTGTTCTAAATGTTATCCACACTGTAACTTTCCTCAGCAAAGACAAGAAGTTGCCATTAGGGTTCCCATTTCACTCATGACATATTCCATACTTGATTTACTGAGGAAAGAAAAACTCACCTCTTGTCTATGTGCTGATCTAAAGCGATACTGATAAATCTCATGATCACCCTTGAAAATGATAAAAACAAAAAGATGAAAAGTCTCAGAAGACAAGAAATGCTACAGTTACATTGAAATCTGAGCACTGGCAATTAAGTAAGGTTTTTGCTAATTATCATTCATGCATAGTGTTGTATGCATAATCACAAGCCCGTAATGCAACCCTTGAAGTAGTTTATATAAAGCATTAATGCTCCTCGTGCAAAATTAAGACAGAAACATGCAATGTATATTGACAGAAAGTAGTAAATTGGCAAAAAATGCTTCCCTGCCTGTAACAAAAGTTTCAACAAACTTGTGGAAACTTTTGAGATGCTATGAAGTAGACATCTAGGCCAATGATTACAGGTGTGTTTGCAGAATAAATTTTGTAATTTCGCGTTGCTAAAATTTCTATGTCAACTCATAATTTCTTGATTTATGATGCAAAGCCAGCTGCCATTAGGAATGTGATTCACAAACATTGGCAGTATCAATCAATTTACTGACAGTTACCCATATTTTGGAATATGTGCTGCTGCTGCTGCTGCTGCTGCTGCTTTCACCTTCCAGATGTCCTGAATGATGCCCATGGCTATGGTGACTCAATGACTTCCTGCTGCTGCTGCTCCTACTGCTGCTATCTTTGCTTCTGCTGCTCCTACTGCTGCTCTTGCTGCTGCTACTACTGCTACCTTTGCTACTGCTGCTGCTGCTACTGCTACGTTTGCTACTGCTGCTGCTACTACTGCTTTTGCTGCTGCTACTACTGCTTTTGCTGCTGCTACTACTGCTCTTGCTGCTGCTACTGCTGCTCTTGCTGCTGCTACTACTGCTCTTGCTGCTGCTACTGCTGCTCCTGCTGCTGCTACTGCTGCTCCTGCCGCTACTGCTACTACTGCCGCTACTGCTACTGCTGCTGCTCTTGCTGCTTGCATCTTTGTTTCTCGCTTGCTTTACTTGATCATTCTCATCTTCATCCACAGCCTTTTTATGATCAGGAGAAGCAGCAGATGATGAGGAAGAAGAGGAGACAGCTGAGGAGGCAGAAGATGAGCTGGAGGGATTTTTTGCATTGGCGTCTGCCCCAAGCTCTGGTAGCACAGTGTTTCCTTTCTTAGAAGGCTGCTTCTTCTGGTGTCGTGTTTTATTTGCAACCTGCAAAAACAGTTCAAAGAAAAGTGTGAGACTGGAGATACATGTGGTTCTGTATTTACAAAGTAAAACTTCTCTGAGTGTCAGACAAGCTGCTCACATCAGCCTTTCAAGGAACAACTTCCCTGCCTCACTCACTGTAGAAGCTGCAGAACTCCCATAGGTCCATTCTGCCCAGCTGAAATCTAGCCCAGCATGGAGGACCAGTCACAGCTGGATGCACCCCATAGGATCAGTCCTTCCAGATGTGACACTGGCTGACAGGCCTGGCACTGGCACCTTTCAAACTAACCCCATCCTTGCTTTCCCTCATTGGCTTTCCATGCTGAACTTCAAATTCACGGCTTCATTTATGGGAAAATATTCCCCCCCGCCCTCCAAAGTCTCTTACCTTGAACACATTTTCAATGCCTAGAATCTTCTTCAGTTTAGCTTGAATGTCCTCATATGGAGATGACTCATCCTCTTCCTCAGACTCCGAATTTACTACATGAATTATTTTGGAAGCTGCTCTGGATCCTGCTTGAATCTCCAGCTGAATTTTGTCAATATCAGCATCTGTTTGAACTACACACCAATTGCACACATTAGAAGGTTATACTGCTTCAAATAGCACCAACAAACCTAAGATGACAAGGCTTGTGCTCAATATTGTACCTGGAATCAAGACTATTTTAGCTTCGTGTTCTCCGATTAATCTGTGCAAATACGTATTTTTTAGGAAACTGGCATCTCGTGACCTTCTGGAAAAGCAGAGCTGACAACCAAGATGATGCAGTTTGACGCAAATGTCTCGTTTATGAGTTTTTCTTCCTGTGCCATAGCGAAGATCCTCTTGAGAGCTATAGGCGTGTTTCCTTGGCATGCTGTCAGCTCCTTGCTGCATTGGAGATGAGTATGTGAATACCACTGGGAGCATATCATAGGCAAGAGTAAAAACAGCAGACATGCGCATCATGGAGATGGTAAATATTACTATATAAGTAAAAAGGAATAGGTTACCGTTGTGAAATCTTCACTGGAAGCTCTCTCTGATGGTTTGAAAGGTTCTTCCACAATATTTGATGAAGCACCTCCTGGGAGAATTGAGGTTCTCTTTTCCACCCCTAGTTCTCCTATATTTCTTGATACAGCAAAAGCCTTATGTCTGTTGAGACATGCGCAAAAAAATGGTGAATTATTCCAACCCCTTTTCTTTGGATTAAATTAAATACATCCCTGTCAGTATCATGTGACAGCACAGAGATATGTTGTTTGAACACAGGGATTGTATATGCAACTATAAGTATAAATATTATTAAAGACAAATAAGAGTTCATGACAAACATCAGTTCCTTATATCCCAGGAAGTTTTCAAAATATGGATAAATTTAAACAAATTTCCAAAACATGAAAGGCATTCATTTAAAAATGAAAATTAAAAACCCTAAAAGACAATAAAATAATAAAAAATAAAAAAATTTAAACACAAAAGAATAAAAAAATTGAAATAAAAATTAAACTCCTAAAAGTCAAAAGATACTTAAATTATTTAACTCCCCTGTTTCTCTTCCTTGGTCTTTATCCCAAACGTTCTGCTACACACTGAAAAGTCACTCTGCCTATCTAGAAACCTCTGTAGCAGGTCAGTGAATGGTGAACTTGGTAAGGTTTCAGCAACAGAAAGTATTCTGAAGTAATGCTACCGTACCTTCCAACCACTATCTCAGTTTCCTCCTGGCATGGATTTGTTTCAATCTTAATATTTTTCAGTTTCATGTCTATCTTGGCATCAAACTTCATTGGCACTCTTGTCAGGACCTTGCCTTGAATTTCAACAGCATGTTGAAAGTATTCTGTGTTGACACCCATTGTTGCGACTGTATGCACGTATAAGCTGAAACAGAGGAGAGCAGTCACATGTAAGAAAGGTCCTCTTTTTAAACATGTGGTTCGGCCTTTTCATAAAAAACCTCCATCATATGCAAAGCCTTAGAAACTTGCCATACCTTGGGTTTATGTCAGACCGAATCTGCATGGTGGATTCAAGGAACTGGGAAGGTCTAAAATCTCCAGTTAAAGGAGGGGTCATCTTTCCATCAACTGCAAACGACAGAACAACTTTTAAACATGGTAGAAGCAAAAGAAACTCTTTGAATTTAAGCAAGACACAGTTTTCAAGAAGAGGTAATATTTTTGCTGATACAACAAATATGGCTGGAAAACAATACAGATTTTGGGGTACATGAGATCTTTTACGAGTCTGAAAAACACTGAAAATATGCAGAAGGCTTGTTCTGTAGGCAAAGGTTCTGATGCAACATATTGAAAATGGAAATAAAAATATAGTAAGCAAATAAAGAGCTGACCCAAATTGAAAGTTTGTTAATTAGTATAACATTAAAATTTCAGAAACATGAGGAGCCAGAAGACAGAATAAATGGTGAGCAACCGGGCCAAACAAACCCGGCTCTCTGATCTTTCCTCACATGAAGTGTGAGCATCTTTCTTGTACTGTGGACCCAAAACTGAACATTGTATGCCCGATGCAGCCTCATGTGCTAAACAGAGAGGGCGAAATAATTTTCTTGCCATCTCTGCTCTTGCTGTTGCAGCCAATGATGCAGTTGGCCTTCATCACCACCAGAGCACACTGCTGGTTCACTATACCAGCTTGTCCTCCAGGCCTCCCTGGCCCTTTTCTGCAAAGCTGCTTCCTGCCTGGGCGATGCCTGTACACTTGCACAAATTACACCATCCCAGGTGAAGGACTTTGCATTGCCTTTGTCAAGTCTCATCACACTTCTGTCAGGCCACCCCCTCTAGCCTGTCAGGGTCCCCTGGGGTGGCAGCCTGTCCCCCCTAGTGCAGAGACTGCTGCCACCAATTCGATGTCATAATTGACACAGATTTGCTGAGGGTGATGTCTTTTCTGAAGTTCAGATTGTTAAAAGAGAATGAACAAGTGCTAATGACAGAGGAACGTTGCTCATAACAAGCCACCAATTAGACTTTCATCTGTTGACTACTCTTGGAGATCAGCAGTCTAGATAGCCCTCAATCACTTTGTAGCCCATCCATCCAATCCATACCTCCCCAAATTGGCTACAAGGATGTTATTTAAAACAAGCAAACAAACAAAAAATAAAAAAAAACACCCACAACACAAGGGGCAGGGGTTCAAAGATATTATTAAAACAAACTAACAAACCAAAACCCAAGAGCAGCAAAGGGTGGGCACATTCGAGACTTCTGTAAAGAGCACAAGTGCATGTACCTCACCCTTCATTCCTTATGTGTTGTCAGTAGAAGGAAGGGTCAGCTTTGCCTGAATTAAAAGTCTGCTGCCCAACAAACAGTATGACCACTGAATTGGTTTCTTGATAATTATTCGTACTTGCATATTTATTCTTTTAAAACAGAGCTCCCTGTCTCTTCACAAGCCCTCTTCTCTTCCTGCCTTCTCTAACATTACTGGTAGTTCTCTTTTGATTGCCTTCTGTTTTATTCTCTGTTTAAATCACCATTGAATCCTGCTTAGCTTGTGTGTGCATCTCTCGGAACCACCTGCTTCTGCCCCCATCTGCATCAGCTCCCCAAGCAGCTCTTGTTTTTTCTGACCTTGAATCCTGTGACCTCTCTCTCTCTGGTTTCCCAGATTCGCACCTCACCTTCTCTGTCTTAGTCCATTCAAAGATGGGGCAAAAATCAGCTGTGTCCAGCTTCTCTTCAAACATCTTCACTACCTCCCCTCCGCTACAAAAATTAGTTCTTTTTCCAACTTTTTTCCACTTTTTTCTCCAGCCACCTCTTACCCTGGCCTTTTCGTCCCCTGCTTAGAGCTCCCACAGCTGATCTCGTACTTCCCAACTCACCGTTGACTGCTGCACGTGCCAGAGCAGTCGTGTATGACCCGTACTCCAGCGGCAGACCGGTGCAGGTAGGAACGATGTATCGCAGCTCTCCCAGCCACACCGGCTGTGTCCATTGTCCTGCAATGCCATTGCGGATTTGGCTGACAACTCTCTTCATCGCTGCGTTCCTGTCAGCAGGTTCTAGCACAGTCTGCAGTAAAACAGAGATGCAAGAGGCTGGGATGTAAAAGTACAATGGTGTCAAATCTTGCAAAGAAAAATAGGAGTCCCTGGTACCTTGATAGCCTGATGCAGGACTTCCTTATTGATGTTGACGTAGGCCAGCTCTTGGCCAAATAGTTTGAAGTAGGCTGATATCAAGGGGGTTTCCGTTGGCAGCTCCTTCCATCCCAGCAGCTAGGGAACACGTAAGGAAACAAGCAAAGTTCCTTAATGCAACACTTTACAAATGGTAATTCAGCAAGGTGATCAAACCCATCGCTGACCAAGCTGCAATTTTCCATTGCTGCTTTTGTTTCTTTGCTGCTTTGTAAATAACACCGTGTCTCTAATTCAGACTGACTCCCTGTCGTTGAGATGCCCACGAATAGCCCCCTGTTCGGTGTTTTGTATTCCAATGCAGTAACATTTACACAGAGGTTCTGGGCCATGAGTACCACTGAACCCAGTTTGAAAGCACAACAACGAATCACCTTTCTCTTGAAGACAAAGGTATATTCTTGTAAACTAAGCGAGGTGGATGAAGGGAAGGAGGAGGCAGCCTGCCAGGCGTGAGGCGCACAACGTGCTACAATGCCCACATCCCCCATCTCCTCCGCAGGAGCAGAGCGAGGATTTGCAGAAGCTATCTATCTCAACCACCCCAGGAGTGATGTCCCCTGCAGTCCTGCTGCAGACCTCCCTTTCGCAGAAATACTTGAGCTGACTGCTAGGTGGGTAGTTTACCTTCTGAGACAGGGCTTAACTAGTATGAGAAGCTTCACTAAATACACCTTCATATACACCACATGTTGCATTACTGAGAATACCTACAGCTTTTCCAATCTCCTTTATCTTTTTGTACGTGGGATATTCAGCAAATGGGATATTTCGTTTCATGATGACGTCTGTGAGGCCTTCCACGCGGACACCAACCTACCAAAACAGCATGAGAAGGAGCGGTCAAACATACTTACAGAGACAAAACTTTGTAGTCAATTTTAATTTTACTTTGTTTTATTATTGATTTAGGTGAATATTTACCTCCACCAAATCAGCCACTGATCCTGCAGAATATGCCATCAGCTTGGAAATTATTGCTGACGGGAACATTGTTCCTGGGCTGTTCATAACAAAGACATCTCCAGCAGCACCAACTTTATAGTTATCTATGGCAGAAGTAAACAAAAGACACATCTTTTTTCTAGCCATTCTGCTTACCATTCAAGATCATATTTCTGCAGCTTTTTCCATTGCCAGCTATAAGATATATCATTACATATATTTTAACTGATTAGGCCCAAATGAATAAATGGCTACTCATGCACTTTTAAATATGTGACTGCCACATTTAATTCAATTTCTTATTGAAAGGCAGAATGCCATATTTCTTCAAAGGACTAAATGTCTTTTAAGCAGGGATTTCTGAAGTGAAAGTTTCCTGGTCACTGAAACGCTTTTACTCACCAAAGTAACCACCAACACGCATGACCTTACTATACCGGTAGCTCAGCCTGTCCAATTTGGGGGCCAGCAGCTTAAGGGCAATATTGCAAGCCGAAGATCTAAACACAATGAGAAAGGTAAAAATATCCTGAAATAAGCTGCACCGCATCAGAATATAAACTGAATTCAGGTTGTAAGCACATGCAGTGCTCACTCACAGGAATGTAACAGAACTTGTTATTTGCAGAACATCGCCCAATGCGTTCCTGTCTCTACTTACATGTTGTACATGTACGGCAAACTGCTCTTCGACAAAGCCTTCATGTGGGAATACACGAAACTGGCCACCTGCAAATTGCTCTCCTTCATTGCCACATTAGCTATGGTTGTTATTAAAGGAAGGGCGGGCCTTGTCTCAAAGATAACGGCACAAGCCATCATCCGCACTTCGGGGGGAAGCGACGGGTCTGCAAGGATCTGAATGAGATATCCCTGCACCTGCAGAAAGAAAACAGTGTCTCGAATTACCAATAATAAAGACTTTTTTTGCAGCGTGGATCCACACGTAACTCGCAAGAAATATGGGAGTGGGGGTCATTGTCCCTGCAGAAAGGTTTCCTGACGTTTTTTACTGAATGGTTCCACATCATTTTATTAAGACAACTGAAGGGGCCATGGAGGAACAGCCCCGTGAAGAAGGGTGGCCACTGAATCTGAAACAAACGTCCATATATTAATGTATTGGAACAACCCACCACAACCAAAAAGACACCAGCGTAGCTTTTTGCATTACTGACATTCAAAGATTGGTGAATAACTTCGGAAGAAACAATGGTAGATAGTAAGATATATTCATTCCTTGGAGTAACACCACTGACTTGGTGAGCATGCTTCACTATTTTAGACCACTTTTAAAAGTGGAGCTTCGGCATCTCACCAAAGACAGTCTGAGTGGATGCCATCTCCTGTAGCTCCTATATCTAAACCATCTGAAAGGCAGGAGTCTCGCCTGCGCTCACCGTGCTGGCAACCTCAGCGGGAGGTCAGTGGTGACTCATCTGACCTCAAGGGAAGGGTCTAAAAGAGGCAGAGCAATGTCTACATTTTGCCTAGGAGGTCAACAGAAAGTGTGTTTGTCTCTCCTCTTGACTATCAAGGCAGGTTAAATTATATGTCTGACTTTTAGATGGCTAACTTTCCACTGCATATAACTAGCACGGGATTTAATTGGTTATAACAGATGACTAAAGAAACAGTGCTGATGTCCTTCTGGAAGCTTCCTTCTGACTAATAATTATTACGGCTTAGAGTAAAACGTCAGCTGAAATATAAAATTGTATTACGGTGTTCTTAAAAATAATCCTTTTTTTAAAACATGCTGAATCCACAGACACGATGCCATTAAATTCATGACCCTTTACAGTATATATTCTATAATTCACTAAGTAAAGAAGTCTCTGACAGATCATACTTACTGTTTTGGGGTCCTTCCAAGCTATTTTTCTCAAGGCCATTATGGCATCAATCTGAATGTGGGTGGGGATATCAGAAGCACTGGATGAAGATATGGGAAGGAACTTCAGGATGCGCTTGATGCTGGCTGGCTCTCCCATGTTACCAATGCACTTCAGAGCTAATTTCATTTTGTCTTCACGGCCCCTGCTGATCGCTTCATCTGCCAGGTCATGGATGGGCTACAGGCAAAGCACAGTTCAGTCTTTTCTTCCTAATGTATAGATTGCCCACAACGTTCCCCTTACCCACTGAAAAGCCTATCGCAATAAACCAACTGGCTTTAATAAAATTACTCAGTAATGGCTTCTCTCAGGATTTTACCTTACAATGTGAAAGCTGTGTTTTCAATGACGAAGCCATTATCTACATCAGTAAAATGATTCATGGCCTTTGTTCTGAAGGACACCTATGAAATGTGTATTTCTAAGTCCAGTTGCCATTTTTATACTGCATCTTTAAAGAATTAAGCTAATGTAATGAACAATACTAAGCTATTAAGAACTACCTGAGAAAAAGCCACCCACCTGAAGAGCTTCTTTTGGACAAGCTGAGGTCTGAGAACAGTATCTATTGACCACAGAACTGTATCCCAAGCAGGCAACTTGCTGAAGCATGGGACTTTTCTGAATTCGAGAACTGGTGATTAAATCCTGGGGGGGAAAAAGGGGAAAAAATTAATTTTGTATTTAATACAGTGCTTGACATAGCTTTCAGAGCAGGAAAATCATCCGAGCTTATCTGAGGGGAGCAGTTTCAGAATGTTTATTGTTCACATCCAAACAAATTAAATCAGCTTGTAGACATTTTATTTGCAAGCTTCACTTGGGAGCTTAATTTCCCACTAGTTTCAATATAAATAAGTATATATATAAGTTTACATAGCACCATTTTGACTTTCCTGAACTGAGCATAACACTGAAAACACAAAGATTACAGGTAACCATCAATCTATAAATAGAATAACCTTAGAACAACGTGTAACTCAATTATATTAATGATGCATTCTCACATCATATCCTTTTTTTCCTATTTGAGAAGAATATTGACTAGAGATGGGAAAAATCCTGTTCAGAACAAATTATTCATTATAGTGTCAAAATATTTGATGTTTGCACCAATACTTTCACTTGCAGCACTTTATAGGAATAGTTTGCAAGTAAAAGAAAGCTATTCAAATGACATAACACATAAATTGCCGTTTGTTTCAGAAGTAAGAGATTGAAGTGGACAAAGTTTTGTCTGCAGAAGGCATGACGTGATCTCAGCAAATTAAAATGGGAATTATTCTTTGAAGCTGTTATGGGAGAATGGCTTTTATATCCATGTAGCAAAATGAAGACACAGGACTGTCTCCTCTCATGTATGTACTGCAAAAAGAAATTCATGGTTCAACATTTGTGCAAAATTGGTATACATGACAGGTGAATCCATTCTCTAATGTACTTTGTAATCAAAGGTTGTCATCGATTATCATTCCTTTTGTTATCAGATAGGAAAGATTCACATGGATTTACTCACTGCTGCTATTGGAACAGTGTCTTCATCAGCTTTCATTAAATGAAGAGCAAAAGAAACACTTAGAAGAGTCTGAAGGTAGTTAACGTCATCATTGCGAATTCTGGCCTTAATGAATTTGAGTGCTTCTGTAGTGCCTGTTGCAGAAACTGCACTCAGCAGCCATCGCCTGCAAGCAGGTTAAAAAAAAATTCCTTAATTTTAGCTCTCAGTTCCCCAAAAATGGCAGTTTCTTATAGGTTGATACAATGAAATACCTGTAGCGGGGTTTATCTGAAAATTGTCTCCAGATGGACTCAAGAGTATCAGCGCTTGCCATCCGGCAGAGCTGGACGAGCTCCAAGAATCGGTATGGAACGTCGTCGTGGAAATCTTGTTGGTTATTCAGGACTATGTGTTGCAGTGTTTCTATTATCTGTTACAAAACATGAGAGAGGGAGGGCATACGTAGTTAAACCCTTTGGAGTTTATGATCATTATTCTTTTATTAATTTTCTTATTAGGAAAGTAATTTGAAGACCTAAAAATACTATACCCTTTGCTCGGGGTTTTTCGTCTTGATTAGCTGCAGTGGCATCTGTGGCAATACTGATGGGAACTGGTAAGGAAGGCTTCCGTAGCTCTGCATGGAAATGTCTGGGGCGCTCCCCCGTTCGCTCCTTACTTCAAGCAAGGTGAGCTGTTGTCTGTCAAGAGGTAAGTGTCACGGGAGGAAAGAATTAGCTCTCTTCCTCCATCTGCCTTGGCTGTTTGTTGGTTCAGCGATACGGTGATGGTATCAGCTTTATTCTTTAATTATTTTTCTTACCACAGTCAAATCTTAGAGTTTGCTAGTGGAGAAAGTCTTCTAACCAGGACAAAATAGTATTAGAGTTATCAACAATTAAATAGTTTCTGAGGAGCTAAACCACTGTCTTCTGAATGAGAGTTATCGACAGTGTAATCAATGGTCTTGTTTCTGTGTGCACCATCTTCCTCCTGACACTATAAACTAGCCCTTTTTCAGGACAGAGCAGTAAAGTTGCATTCTTATAGTATAAGTGAGTAAAAGAGCTTTTCTCCTTCTCTTCCATGTAACTGTAGTGCCAAGTTCACCAGGGTACAAATAAAGAATGGTTCACTGAATTTTTAGGAGTGTGGAAACCCCAAGTATGAGTACACGCAGCTTTACCTAACTGCTCAACTCTCATTTCACTTCAATTGGGGGTGAAAGGCACTGCCAGAATCTATAGCTGTTGTCACTTCGTGAAGCAAGCCCATGTCCCACCTACCTTGCTTCCATGACGGCAACACCGGTAGGTTCACTGAGTGGTGAGATCTGATACACTTGCTGCGACACCACTTCTGTGATCAGGGTACCGCTGTCTGACTGCTTCAGTTTGTAGGAGAAAGCTGCAGTCCCTTTTATGAGCCTTCCCTTCTGGAGGAGAACAGAGAGACCCAAAGAGTGAATGGGAACAGAACAGCCATGCGTGTAGTAAAGAAGATCTTTTCACATCTCACGTACCATCATGTCAACAGGACAAGGATAGATGTAAGCCATTCCGACACTCTTCATCACTTTTTCCTGGCAATTATTTTGGTCTACAGTTTTGGTAACAGAGACTCGGCTGTTCTTCCTGTCTTCCTGGATGACATACCTTGTATGGCAAACACCACCGATTCCAGCCTGTGCACATCAATAGACATAATAAGACTTCCCAATTATATCGGGATTTCACCACGTGAGAAGTTTTATTGAACAAAGATTCTGAAGGAGCAGTAGGTGGGTAAGGACCTACTTAACAGTCTTAATTATGTTTCAAAGCCTGTTACCATTGCCCACAATTAATCCTATTGAACTAAAAAAATAGACAGATGAACATTATTTTGTCAGGGGACTGAGTTTAAAATGCAAAAGTAATCAATTAATTAATATCAACAACAATCAAATAAAATGGATCAAGCAGCTGTATCAGGGAAGCCATATAACAAAGACATTCATAGCTAATAATTCTTTTTCTTCAAAGGACTGCATGTTAAGACTTAAAGACAGATGTCTTAAAAAGAATCCAGCTCAGATAATTCATTCAACACATCGGCACACATTTTCTTCTATGTGAATGAAAACTGTCTTTTTTGTTTGTTTGTTTTTGGTGATGAACATTTGAAAGTAGATGCAAATAAACAGCAACTTGAAGGAAGAGCACCTAAAGAGAACACGTCCTTTCAGTAAAGTGGTTTCAGAATGGAAAAAACAAACCTCTTGCAATTCATACACATTCTGTGACTTTTTAATGGTTATCTGCATCATGTTCAGTATTCCTCTCACTATGTTAATACACATGTTGGGGCAGTCTTCTGGGCCATAAATATTTCCAATCCGTCCACTACTGTATTCAAACTTGAAGGGCCGGGTGAAACACGAAGAAACCATCTGGGTGATTTTGGAAGATCGAGTAAATGGGTCACTGGGCCAGATGCCATTGTACTCGTCAAATTGTGGAGAGCGGATCTGGGAGGAAATTAAGAAAAGGTATTTATGTGAATAAAATTACTTTGGTACAAAATATGCAAACAGATTGGAAGAAATCAACATAATCACTAGTTATATACACTTTCCTTTCAAATGTAGGCTTAGAAATTCATACCGCAGTTTATTCTTTTGTCTCTTGCTTACACTATTGTAAAACCAGTACAAACCCTGTGCGCTCAGCAGTTTTATTTTATCTTACAGAAGCAGTTAAAATATCACTATTATTTCCCAGGGACACTTTAAGCATTTTACTTGCATCAATTCTATAGAAGAAAGGCTGATTCAAAAAATAATAAAAAAAAAATCAAATAAGATTCTCCCTATTTTTTCAGCCTTAAAATAAATATTCTGCTTTAGGTGAAATCTAGCATTTTAAAAGTTTATATCATTCTAGAGGTAAAAAAAAAATAAATAGTTTTAGAACTATTTAGAACATCTCCTTCAAATTTCTTTTTTACTAAACTAGTTGCTATATTTGATTCGTATTTGTGAATTGCTTAAATCAACACATTTTTAAAAAAATAATGAACCCTTTTTCCTCCCCCCAAACTGAGATACAATGTAAATCAGAAGAAATTTCAGGAACTTTGGGAAAGTTACTGCCAGTTTGGGTGCCTCAGAGCACAGCCTGGTACATGCCATATAAGAGTTTCAGGATGAAGACTATAGTGTGAAATGCAGTCCATAGCCCATAATTTTGACATCTTGCCCTCATCAGTGAAAGAAGATCTGCTGCTCAACTACAGTCAGCGAGAGCTCTGTCACTAACCTCAGCGCCCAATAAAGCGGCTCTGATTTGTAACTAAATTAAACAGGCAAAGAAAAGTATTTTTCTGAGACATGCTTATTTTAGATAGATCAGGTCCTATCTCTGTTACCGCTGACAGAGGCATGATTTCACACATACAGATCTTTTACTGCAGTATCCAAACACTAAGTACTATTACATGCTCTTTTTTGATGCCTTTCATTTTTCAATCTTTCTTTTATCACTTTTTATCTTCAGCTTTTATCTCTTTTTAAGTCCACATTTATTAATTGCCTGCACGGCAATGATTTTACATACCCAAGTCCTGGCTTTCCACAGAAGCTGGAAATGACTGTTAAGACTAGAATCAGATCTTAAACTTGGAGCAGGCTTGAGTGCCTTGAGTTAGAAACAACCGTTTTTTAATAGAACCCCTGATTTTGGCACCTCAGTTTCCAACACAAAGTCTCGAGGAACACCCGCTATGAAAAATTTCCACAACAAACACCGGGAAGTGGCTGGAGGCCAAATCACTCATCACTTCTGAAACTTCAGCTTGCAGATCATTCTCTGACATCTACAGCACTAAGTCTCCAGTTGCGTTTCCTACAGCTTTCCTAAACCACAGGTCAGCCAGGTGCAATTCTGACTGATTTATAGTTCCCTGTTGCATAGTAGGTTTGGAAGGAGACTTGGTACCTTGAGGAGGTAAGTGTTCTCTGACAGCCCACTGATCTCTAGTTTGCTGCTCAAGCGCACGCCGACTTTGGCTAAACTTTTCTCTTGAAGCCCGTTCAACACCCAGCCTTCATAGCTGTACATGTAGCTCTTTCTGCTGCCGAATCCAGGGTCTGTGGGGAGTAATAGCCATTTTCACAATACTTGCAAGTGTGTTCTAACAAATAGAAATCACAACCAAGTCACCAAAGGAGGTTATAGAAGAAGATTTACTTACCAATGTCAAACTTCTGGCTACCTGCAAAAAGAGATGGAAAACCAGATGAGTAACATTCATTCTAGATCCAGTTGTTGACACTGAACTTAAGGAAATTTTGGGAAAGAGAAAGGTGAAGAAGGCATATGTAGGCTTACCTACGAGGGTGAGCGCTAGTGCAAGTATGATTCCCCTCATAGTGAAGGTGAATGGGGCTCTGCCAGACATCCTGAGACTTTTATGGAAGGAAGCTCAGGAACACGTGGCTGTGTTCTGCTGAATTCTCAAGTTTTTTATCAGTTTATGTAAACACTTCCCTTTTTGCAATCATACTTTCTCTTCAGATGGAATAAAGGAAATCAAGTCATACCTTGGCATCCCACTGATTTTCTCATATGAGCCCTTTGCTGGATTGTTTAAAAGTTTCTGCTTATCCTAGTAAAACAATTTTACTAAGTTGTTTACAATAAATTTACAATAAACACATTACTTAATTTCCTAGATTGTGTCACAGCTGGCTGCTGGTATTTGATCCTGCCACAGATTAGGTTGATTTTGCCCAGGTTATGCTGACCTGGCATCTGACCCAAATGGTTATCTAACTGATAGTGGCACAATTAACAAAGTGGAGTCAGTGTCACACGTTAACTGTGTTCTTTCTCGTCCCTCAGCATTGGTTTAGACAGGTGGTGTCCCCTGTAGACAGGAGACAAGAACAGATAAAGCCTTGCTATTCATATATTCATATGTGCACAACGGCACATTTAATGTCCTACTGAAAACCTGTGTACGTGGAATATATGTATTTATTTAAATAAAACAGAGGATCAGTGTGTCCTTTCAGCTCTGGTCGTGCTGACCAGGAATATTATTTAAATGAACAAAGATTTCGTAAGCAATCTGTAAATATTTTATCTTCCAAGGTAAATGACAGCTAAATGTGAGCAATTAAAACCCGCAGAGACTCAAAGCAGGGGCAGTGGGAGAGCAGGTCAGCTAGAACTTTTGCATTTCCTAAGGAGCCAAATACAAAATGTGGCCAAGTACCTGGATGGATGTAGGCTCGCAGCCAGCTTCATCACCGATTTACATTGACAACCCGGGAAGGCATTCACACAAATGGTCTGTTCTAGAAATGTCAGGGGCACGGAGGCAGGTGGAGATGCACAAAACACGCTTGCCCTTTTTGACCATGGTGATTGATAATCACAAAAAGGGAGAAATAAGTTCTGGTCAACCCACCGAAAGAGTTACACAGTCTTATAAATTGAGCTGGGTGGCGACCGCATCAACAGAAAAAAAAAAAAAAAGGCAAGAAAAATGCACAGGGGCTTCTGAGCTGGAGGGTACTTCTGGAGGAGTAACGTCAGGCAATGCAATAAACTGTGAGGTTTTAAGCTGCACAAAAAAAAAAAGTGAATCCAATTCTAATTCAACATCTAAGACATACAGGTTATTCAGTCACATCTTCTCTGCTCCCACAATACCTGCGGTTGTAAGATTAACCACAGGAGTGCGTTTTGTGGCAAACTCTATTTTAATGACCACAAAGGAGCATTTATCTTCTGTTCCAGCAGTTTCTACAGTCACCCACTAGCGCTGCTCTTCCAAGGTTGTCAGTCCCACAAGTCTTGACTTTTTCAGCTAGATTTCCTCTGGGCTGTAAACCCACTTGGGGTTGTGCAACGTCTATTTTAGGAACTGTCATCCAGCTCACTGCGTAAGACTACATTTTGGGGGGAAACACACAGCAAGAAATGTCTCCTTTTTCATGATTATCCATCTATTATTATGTTCAAAGGAACAAATATGTTTTGTGCCTCAAGTGACAAACTTTTCGCTATGACATTGGCAAACTCTGCCATACAATTGTAACATTTTTTATCGTTGAACATTTCTTTAAAACAAACTTACCTGTTATGCATTCCAGTTAGTTGTACATTTGTACAACTCAAAACTTGAATAAAAATCCATGAGTACTGTGTCAGTGAGAAAACTACAACACAGTGTATACCATGTTGGGTGTTTTTAAAATTATTTTATTTTTTTAATTACAGTGCAACTTTGCTGGCCATAGTGAACAGTAGAGATCAGACATATTGCCTGAAAGCAATAAATAAATCATCAGATAATTTGAACGCTTCTTTCAGGAACAGTTTTTTTGGGTCCAACTATATCAACCTTTCATATCTTGTCATCTAGTTCTCTTGCAAATTAGATGGGGGGGTGGAAGGGAAGAAAGTAAAAGCAAAATGTCTTACACGTCTTCACACACCAGAGCTTTTTGGTACTGCAAATTAAAAAAAAAAAGCAGCACAAGTAATAGCTAAGCTAATTCAACATACACAGCATTGCCATTACCCTGTAAATACTTCTATTTTCCCTTGAAAATAACCTCTTTAAATTAATTTTATCTTGAGGATTTATTAGTTACCTTGGCCCACTTGAAGTGTACATAGAATAATCCATGAGAAAAAGCTGACGGTCTGATTTTTTTCATACACATGGGAATATTTTTGTCCTGTTACAACTGAAGTAGAGCAAGTTTGCAGAAGCTGGTGGAAGCAGTTCTTCAAATTAGGAAAAGGGCTGTTTTGTAGGGAGAAAGTTTCCCCAAGTAAAGTTTTCATTGATTAGGTTTTTTTTCCTGTATGGTCTGTTTTGTAGAAGCTATGTTGTACCAGCCTCAGCCACAGGGGATGAAAGGGGAAAAAAATTAACAGCTGTAACCTAATCTTGGAAAATAACTTCTCATACCTAATCAGACTGGTATTTATGGAAGAAGCACTCTTATCACGTAGACTGAAAAATAAGCAATGCATATGATATTTAAAGATTTTGTGAAATGAAACACATTATTTAAGAGACCCACTCTCTTTTCAGTACTAGGCACAGATGGCCAACAATAACTATATGCTAATCAGTCACTGGCAGTCAGCACTTCTTGTTCCTTCTTCAGTAGGACACTCCCTCTGTTATCTCAAGTACGCACCTGTGTGTAGTGACACACCTGTGTCACCTTCCTGTGAGCAGTCCCCACTCTGTTCTTCACAAGTCTCTGAGTAAGAAAGATCCTGAAGTGGTTTCCAACACAGTGAAGCATTAGAATATCACCATACTACCAACCAGACCATCTGCAGTATTCACACCATTATTAGCAGTAGCTTTGGATTTAAAAGCTTCCCGACTGCTGCATCTAGAGCAACCCAAAAACTCCAGGCACGTTTTCTTTCTTTACAGGGGCAGAACTGAATCTATACCCCAGGACTGCCAGACGAGGTCTCAGAGCTCAGCTCAAGACCCAACTGCATACACACTTCTAGCACAGCTGGGTCTTCCATGGAGGCACTCAAATGAAATTCCCCCTCTATAAGATCGGTTACAGAATGTTAAGCACAGAAAAAAAAAGTACAAAATGTTTATTAATTGCTAATCATGCAATAGGCACAAACAAGATTTAATAGGTAAATTATTTTGTTCTTCAAAGGCATTTTTATCCTAAAAATTACTGTCATGAAAAAAACACAACTGTCTACTAAAGAAGCCCACCTAAACCAAATGCATTGAAGTGTCCCAATAAAGCACCAGTGAGCACACACACCTTCTGCGGAAGAGCAGCAGCCTCTAGTGGCATACTGAGACTGCCCAACTACAGCCTTACAGGGCTGGAATAACCTACTAGCTTGGAAATAAAAGTACTGTTCTCCCACTTAATTGCCAACATATTAGATTTTTCACTTTACATCTTGCTATATGTTTTTTGAATATGTATTTTTATTCTTCCGTAACTAAAACTCAGGCAAAAGCTATCCCACATGTTGTGGGGAAGGTGTAAGCCCAACAGTAACTATATACTGCTAAACCCTTTCAGCAGATGACATGACTGATCACCTACTTATTGAGGAGGAACTGGAGAAATAAATAAAAAAAGAAATATGATGTTATTTGCATTGTCTTTCCAACCCGACCACCTATGCAGCACAAAGCTGACCAAGAATATCATTGCATACACTTCTGCTTCATTAATGACACTGTGCAAGAACTGTACTACAAGTATCCTCTGCAGTTTACACTGAGTTACAGCTGGAGGTGAAGTAGTAGCCAGTGTACTGAACTAATCAGCAGAAACTGCATTTTTCTCTCTTAGCTTCTTGGAGAACTCCAGTTTCTTCTCTTTCCTATGTTATTCTACTTCTCCCAAGTATTTTTCAATCACTCCATTACATCCAATTCTGAAGACAACGGGCAGAACAGCAATGCCGTCTCAGGGAAGGATTCAGAGTTAATTTCCCTCCTATGACCCTGAGAAACACAGAAGTTTCTCAGACTTTGTCCAAAAGGTCAGTTACACCGGGATCAGAGCTATACATATGCACTGTGAGCATATACAGATGGATGAAAACACAACAAAAGACAAGATGGATTTGTAACAGGCAAGGAAAAGTGCATGCTTTTAGTCAGGTGAAGGAGACTTTGAAACATCTTACCTTTAACTTGGCTATTTTTATTACAGTATAAACAAAACATGTTTCCCAAAGACAACACCAAAAAAAGATTCTGGAGTCAATTAGAAGGAAAAACTAAGAAAATACAAAACCAGCACCAGATTTGTTGACATAGTGTACTGCCCTACAACCATGATAGCTTAGAAGTTTAGTGCACATAAAACACAGAACCAGAGTTTTAGAATAGTATTACATGTTTATTGTTCACATTTGAAATAATTTGGTTCCTGATTGAACCATTGAAAGTTCTAATGCATCTGTAAACTGAGTATCACTATAAAACAATTTAAAATGCCATGTAAAATAATATCATGTATGAATGTGTTTCATTTCATGGTTTCTCAGCATAATCACTTTGTCTATTTACAAATGTATAAAGATTTTGCACTTTAAGTCATCTGAAATATCAAAGAGGTATTTTGAAATCACACAACTTCATAAATATAGAACCTGTTTTGTTAAAAATCTACAGTATACTGTACATTCAAGTTGAGGCAAAAGAAGTTTTAATGCCAGTTACATTTGAGACATACATGAATGTTTCCAATAATTAAACAATTTCTAAAAGTGCTATTTCTGCCTGTGATGAAAGGTAACATTAGGATCCAGTAATAGTTACAGTCAAAGTTTGAGACCATTGCTTCATTCACAGAATCAGAGCTTCTGCTACTAGAAAAATATCAAAGCTTTTATATATTTT